TGTTTGCTCCTGCCCTGATTCTCTGGACTGTGGATTTATAACTAAAGGACACATGGACTGAAGCTTCCCACCTTTTCGTATTATCAGAGACGTCACAAGCCAGTGGCACCTGCTACAACCCTGGGACAAGGACTTTGCAGTGATCACTGTGTCTATGATCAGTTATTAGCTCTCTTCTTTTCTTTGATTGGTGATCCTTTAGGTTTTAGCTCCTACGGGACTGGCATCAGTATGATTAGTGGGTAAGATCTGAGTTATTGACCAGCCTATGTGGCTGAACCCTGGGATTAGAAGGACCCTGTATTTGATCAAACTGGTTTTCAGTAACCATGTATCACAGAGGCCGGTGGCTGAGTGGTGAGCCAATGGCTGGACTGCCTAAGGAGACTGCATCTTCTCTTTCTTCTTAAGGAAAGTGGCGAGACAGAAATGCACTTTGTTAGTGGCTCGGTACAATCGAACGATAGAACCACCAGCAGTTCGGGGTGAGTCTGCCTATTTCTTAGCAGTTTGGCCTAAATGTGGCCTCCTCAGCTGTGACCCTCTGAGTCAGGATGACCAGCAGTTTGGGGCAATCCCTGCCCACATAGGGCTCATCTAGACTACGCGGAAAGGTCGAAAGAAGATATGCAAATTCCATGGGAATTTCCATATCTTCTTCTGATCGCACTTTCGAAAGCAGAGCTTTCAAAAGTGAAAGTAATGAAGATGCAGACCCCGCCCTTTGTCTAAAAGCCACGTAAACCTCCTTTTTTGAGGAAAAGCGGATTTTCAACAAAGGGGGCGGTTTGCCAAAAAAGGTATGTCTTAATTACTTTCACTTGGAGGTTTCGAAAGTGCGATCCTCTTTCGACCGTTCCACGTAGTCTAGATACGCCCCTTGGGCAAACAACTCTGAACAGGAAGCAGCCAAGGAAATAGCAGGCGAGTCCCGGCCCTCCGCTCAGCAGAGCACTCGCGCTCTGAGGCCAGGGTCTGGAGAGAAAAGTCCTTGTCCTGTGGAACGCGAGCAGGGCCTTCCCCTCTCAAGGCCTGTGTCACGTCTGGCCCGAGGGGGAACAGGCCAGCTGCTGCTCCGTCTTTCCCAGGGGAGTGCAGGGCCGGGCTGACAAGAGCTGCTCAGGCCGTTGAGTGCTAGGGACGGACAGAGCACCCCCAGCACAATGGAAGGGCAGAGTCAGCGAAGCGCAGAGCGGGGGGGCAGCAGAGTGAGGGAGAACATTCAATTCCAGCAAAGGACTGATGCTGGGCTGCTGAGCTGCGGCAGGGGGAGCCAAGGGAGCAGGG